AGTGCTTGCTAAAAAAAATAAAAAAAAAATAAACAGCATCTCCATTCTGATTGTCTGGTTTATGCACAGGATCTGCCTGGTAACAATGCCTTTTAACCTCATTATATGTCACATTATATAATGCAAACTATAAATGTTAAAATTTTACATTTGCCCTGTTGAAAAAAACAGCATATGCTGGTTAGGTATGTCATTTTAAACCAGCAAAGGACCATTTTAAACCAGCAAAGGACCAGCATAAACCAGCAAAGGACCAGCTTAAACCAGCATCCCCATATCCCAAAACATACCTAACCAGCATATGCTGGATTTTTCAACAGGGTGTTGTTCTGTTTTATCAGTAGTTTGTATGTAACTGTTAACATAACATATAACTAACTCATAGCCTGCTAGCTTAACACATTGTTAGCTGATTATTAGCAGTGTTGAGGGTAACGCATTACAAGTAACGCGAGTTACGTAATCAGATTACTTTTTTCAAGTAACTAGTAAAGTAACGCATTACTGCTTATTAATTTCACTTTTGGTGTGAAAAGGCTTTTATATTTGCCAAAAATATAACTTTTTTTTTTTTTAAAACAAACAAGCAAGCCCTGTCCACATTTAAAAAGTAATGCAAAAGTAACGTAACACATTATTTTCCATAAAAAGTAACTAAGTAACGTAATTAGTTACTTTTTTATGGAGTAACGCAATATTGTAATGCATTACTTTTAAAAGTAACTTTCCCCAACACTGATTATTAGATTGCTCTTTTACATACCATTAGCTGAGTAGCCTGCCAATATACCACCAATAGAAATAACCAACAAGTATAAATGGTGAAATTTAGTCAAAATGTGTTTGTTTTGTCTGTTAGTTTGTAAGCAAGTGCATTAACTTGTAAGCTAACTTGTTAGCCAAGTAGCGTTGCATATACATTAGTAGATTCTCTTTATAGCTTAGCATAGGCCTATGTAACATATAGCTCACTCATTAGCCTGTTAGTGGAGCACATAACTAGCTGATTAGTCTGCTTAATTAACATACAGTTAGTGTTGTTGTTCTGTTTTACCAGTTAGTTTGTAAGATAAGCAAGTGCATCAAGTTGTAAGCTAACTTGTTAACCAACTAGCTTTGCATATACATTCAGTGGATTCCATTTATAGCTTAGCATACAGCTAATTGATTAGACTGTTAGTATAAAATCTAGCTAACTCATTGGCCTGCTTGCTTAACACATGGCTAGCTAATTAAACTGCTTGTTTAATATTGCATTAGTTGATTAGCTGCATCAACAACTAACAAAAATGTTATATTGTTAATATAGAAGAAGAATGTTCAAATGTAACCCGCTGTCCTGTTTTATCAGCTTCTAAGTTAAGCAAGTGCAATTTGTAAACTAACTAGTTGTTAACTTAGCACAATGCTAACTGATTAGACTGTTAGATTAGCAAACATTTAGGCTGCTAACATAGATCCCAGAAACAATTACAAAACCGCTATTTTGATCATATTGAAGACAAAAAAAGAATACATTCCGATTAAAATTCATCCAGATTATGTTATAACTAACTAACTAGTCTGATTGGTTGGTTTTACACACACGTTCTTACTAGTCGGCCAGTAACAAAGTTTAAGTCTTTAAGTCTTCTTCTAACGTCAAGTCATCTAACCCCATTATATATTGCATATTATGTAACGTTAGCTATAAATGTCAAATTTAACACTTGATGTCCTGTTTTATCAGTTATTTTGTAAGATAAGCAAGTGCATCAACTTGTGAGCTAACTGGTTAGCCAGTTAGCTTTGCATACAGCCAGTAGATTAGCTTTCTATCTTAGAATACAGCTAATTAGCATGTTAGCTTAACACTCGCTAGCTGATTAGACTGTAAAATTAACATATTAGCCGATTAACCTGCTAATATAACTACCACAGGTACCAAAAACTAACAAAAATATTGTTTTGATTATACAGACGGTGAAATTCATGAATTCTGATTCAAACTAAAACATGATATTTCTCAAGTAATGACCTCAAATGCATCAACGTCCTCAGTACATGCTGAGCCGTGACATTTGCTGCGGCGTAAACAAGTCAAAGACGCGTTAGCACGCAGCTGAGCCGTGACAGTGCTTTAGCAAATGTGTTTTGCAAGCCACACAGATTTCCTTCATCCTGAATTAAAGACACTTTAGACTTTCTCTCCCCAGCTGTGATTGAAAGACATTTCTCTGTCATCATCTGACAGGCCTGAGCTTCAGCACACAACGCCTTCTGCTGACAGTGCAGCGCTTGTCAACCGCGCACACGCCCGTGCGCTAACGCTCCGCCAATCAAACGCAGCTATGATCCCATTTTATAATTCAGAAGATGCTTTCCAATACTAGAACTTAAACAGAAGTGTTTCCATCACCTTCCCATGTGGGACAAAGCTTACGCAAGTCATAGTCTGAACTGAATCTGAATGAAAGACTTGTTGGTCAGTGTAGCACCTTTAGCCCCTGCTGGCAGATGCTGTAACTACAATGTTAGACTACAAAAATCATCTTTTTTCCATTGACAGCCATTCAGTAAGTGAACTGGGAAGAGATCTTGATGTTACAAGAGCACAGTCATTCTGAAGTCAAAACAGTAAGACAGTAGCACTTGCGGAGTTAAAAATAAATAAATAAACAAATAAATGAAAAACTCACTTTTCCCAATAGTCAATCTATCCGCCATTCGTCAGTCGTATTTTTATAAAAATAAAAATATAAATAAAAAAAGCCCCGCCCCAAACTCAAGCCATTGGTTAAGCCAATCTTGCTGGATGCTGAAATCATGCACCTACTGGTTGATGCTGCAACTACACCATTCTGGGGGAAAAAGGCATTTCTCCATTGACACCCATTCTAAACACGATTTGTGTGATTCTAGTGTGTTATACATATGCAAATATAATACACTGCCCATCCCAAAAAAAAGTCACACACTCTAATATTTCATTGGACCGCCTTTAGCTTTGATTACGCTCCCTGAACCACTCTTTCACAATTTGAGCCCGATGAATCCTGGCATTGTCATCTTGGAATATGCCCGTGCCATCAGGGAAGAAAAAATCCATTGATGTAATAACCTGGTCATTCAGTATATTCAGGAAGTCAGCTGACCTCATTCTTAGGGCACATAACGTTGCTGAACCTAGACCTGACCAACTGCAGCAACCCCAGATCATAGCACTACCCCCACAGGCTTGTACGGTAGGCACTAGGCATGATAGGTGCATCACTTCATCCGCCTCTCTTCTTACCCTGATGCGCCCATCACTCTGGAACAGGGTAAATCTGGACTCATCAGACCACATGACCTTCTTCCATTGCAACAGAGTCCAATCTTTATGCTCCCTAGCAAATTGAAGCCTTTTTTTTCCGATTAGCCTCACTGATAAATGGTTACACAGGCTACACAGCTGTTTAGTCCCAATCCCTTGAGTTCCCTTCGCATTGTACATTGTGGAAATGCTCTTACTTTCACTATTAAACATAGCCGTGAGTTCTACTGTTGTTTTTTTACGATTTGATTTCACCAAACGTTTAAGTGATCACGATCATTCAAGATTTTTTTCCCGACCACATTTCTTCCTCGAAGATGATGGTTCCCCACTATCCTTCCAGTTTTTAATAATGCGTTGGACAGTTCTTAACCCAATTTTAGTAGTTTCAGCAATCTCCTTAGATGTTTTCTAATATAATAATTTTAAATACATTTTATTATAAATTTCATGATATGGTATCTGTGGCTCCAAAGAGATTACTCATATTTAGTAAGAAATTAACATAAAAATTGTCTTACGTTTAGCAAGCAAATTCAAGGCTAATAATAAATTCAAGTAAGCAAATTTAAGGCTAATCATAATAATAATAAAAGTAATAAAAAATAACCAAATGGTTTTATTTCATGTTGGTACATTCTTGGACAACACCACAGTATAGTTGCATGAGTTGCCAAACATAAAAGTCTTCCACAATATCAGCACATAAGCAGCAAGGGCAACATGAATATACTTAGTACAAACAGTATAAAACATACATGCTTTTTATTTATTTTTTCATATTTTTTAAATATATATTCATATCTTTTGCACAATTTCTCCATAAGTTCCGGGGCAGTTCAAAATTCCAAGACAAATTAAAGCCATATTCTGCCTTGAGTGAGTGAATGTCTGAGAAATTCATGAAGGTAAAAAGAGAGAAATCAATAAAGGCTTGTAAAATCGTCCGTAAACAGGCCATTGTGAGAGAACTGTGGTGAAAGTTTCATTGACTTCAACATCAAACATATCAAGCATGCATTGACAACTGCTACGTGAACACTTTCCTTAAAAATAATTCTGAAACACCATCGATCACCGGGGTTTAGTCACTGTAAAACCAATGCAACATCTCTCAAAGTCACTAAAAACACAGTCGATGGTCTACGAACCCTTACAAACATGGTGGGAATGCCGAAAAATGTGACACGTTTATCATGTTAAAGGGCGAAAACCAACGCAAATCCTCAAAATAAAGAGACAATATTCCAGGAATGGGATCTCAAAGAGAAGAATATGGCTTTAAATACAATGTGCATCCAGAAAAGGCAAGGAAAACCAAAGAAGAAATGCTCAACCGAAACGTAAAAACAGCAAAAGGAAACCAAAATGCTGAAAGAACCACACAAATTTGCACGGAAAATCCCAAAAACTTGCAGTTTGGAAGTACATGTAAAGATGAGGAGGACCTTGAGGCCCAGCATTCCAAAGCCAGTGCCCTGAAGAAAGTCTGTGATGGAGTGTCAGAAGAAACGCCTTGTCAAAGGTCTATCACGCCAAGTGCAACCTCAATCGTTTGACTGACAAGCAATCAGTCGTTTTGTGCCGCTGTTACACCCCATCAGTTTCCTCCATCAGAAAAACAACAACAACTAAATTGAATTCCTCCGCTTGTAATTCCTGTTACTTTTTTGTAGATGTCAGGTTATTTTTTGGATTTTTTTTGGGGTGGTTTTGCTGTCTTATGTGTTGAAAATCAACTGATATCCTCTGTCGTTGGTTTAGCTTTGGGCCCAATCGCTGTCCTGGCCCTCGGACGAAATAAGGATGAAAACGGAAGGACACCGAAAGCTTTTTCCTGCTTTACTTTTGTTCCAAAGAGCCGAGAGAAACCAGGAAGTGCCATCGATCACCTTCCTCCTGTGATGGAGGCCCTCAGATCACAAGGTCATTGTAGCTCACATATTTCTTCTTAGCAGCCGGACCTGCGAGGAGAGAAAGATGAAAGATTGTTTTTCATTTGACATTTCTTCCTTTTTTCTTGCTGAAAATGAGAGGAATTCATTGATTCCTGTCAGGAGGCCTGACAGGGACACTTTTTGGGACACTTTTTGTCAGTATGGAACAGAAAATGTCCACAAACTGACTATTAAAAGGACAGTTCACCCAAAAAGGAAAATTACCCCATGATTTACTCACCCTCAAGCCATAGGTGTATATGACTTTCTTCTTTCAGACAAATACAATCAGAGTTATATTAAAAAATGTCCTGGCTCTTCCAAGCTTTATAATGGCAGAGAATGGGGGTCGAGATTTTGAAGGCCAAAAAAGTGCCTCCATCCATCATAAAAATTGCTTCACACAACTCCGGTGGGGTAATAAAGCATCCTGAAGTGAATAGATGCATTTGTGTAAGAAAAATATCCATATTTAAAACTTTATAAACTGTAATCTCTAGCTTACGTTTAAAAGTCGTACACACGTTCACGAGAAAGTGGCGTTCCAGCTAGGGCTGCCCCCTAATAGTCAACTAACTGTTAGTCGACCAGAAGAGAGGCTTGGTCGACCAAAATTGTATTAGTCGCTTAGTCGCAGAAAAAAAAGTAAAATTCCTCATGCGCAGTCCATGACGGACAGATTGTTAACGGCTGGTCTATGTGGCCATACAGTACATCGGGCAGGACATCCAAACGCTCGCCTATCATTCATCGACCTCAAATAAGACTTATCATCTGAAATATGTATTAGCAACATTACATGGCCGCTCAATCTGATGTTAACCTAGAAATGTGCGCTATTGAAGTGTCGGAGAGTGGAAGCTGAACAGTAGTGCGCTCACTGCATGACAGATGGAGGCGCTAAAATACTCCCGTCATTTCTGGTCATACAGATAAGAGTAATTCATCAATCGAATCTGTAAAGACTCTACGTTTATTTGTGTGCACTCACAATAACAATGAAATGTTGCGCTTTTGTAAAATAATGAAAGCAAAACGTGTTTTCTGCCGTCTCGGTCTCTGTGAACTTGAGCGCAAAACTCCGAAACTCTGTGTATCTACACCTTACAGATATGAAAACATATCTATAGAGAGCAAAATGTCTAATTTCAAATGAACTAATTCAAATGGAAAACGAATATTCTCAGATTAGGCTAATTCATATGAAACATGCATACGCGTCCACTGCAGAGATGATGAGTCAGTGTCACCGACTTCATCTCTTAAAAGCACTAGTTTATCAATCAATTATTAAAATGTTAATGCAGCCTCCTTACTGTTTTTCCCTGACACATTCATAATCATTACTTCTGCAGTGTGCTGTGGCAAGCTTTAAGTGTGCGCTTATAGGCTATGTAGGCAATTAAAGGCTCAATATAAAGAGTTAAATGGTTTATTAATAAATGTGTGATTAGTCGACTAATGCTTAAAATGAACGAGTACTAATCGACCAGAAAAATCTTTAGTCGAGGGCAGCCCTAGTTCCAGCAGATGACGCATGACGTAGGTGTAGTGTAAGCTCCGGTGATATATGTTGCATGCAGAAGCACAGTGGAGAGAGCAAAACAAAACACCAGTCACCACCGAATTAGAAGTACAAAATGAGGATTTGTAAAGAAAAATGTCAAAGGATTTCAAAATAAGTCAAGAGGAGACTTGCTGTAAACAAAATTTGGTTCCCGCGAGACTGGTATATTCTCACCAGAGCTTAGGCTACGATTACGTCCTATGTCATCCGCTGGAATGCCACTCTCTCGTGAATGTGCGTAGCAGTTAGCAGAAGCTAGAGATTGCGGTTTATAAAGTTTAAAATATGGATTTTGTTTTTCTTACACAAATGCATCGACTCGCTTCAGAAGGCCTTTTAACCCCTGGATCCGCATGCAGCACTTTTTTATTATGGATGGATGCATTTTTTGGGGCTTCAAAATCTTGACCCCCATTCACTGCCATTATAAAGCTTGGAAGAGCCAGGACATTGTTTAATGTAGCTGATTATATTTGTATGAAAGAAGAAAAGTCATATATTATAAGAAGGTTGTTAGGATGTTCTATGTGGTTTCCAGGCTGTTCTGGGTAGTTTCTAGGTTATTGTAAGTGGTTACTATGGTGTTCTGGGTGGTTGCTAGGATGTTTCAAGTGAGATGGTTGGTTGTTATATGTGTTTGTTATTGATAAAATATTGCTAGGGTGTTCTATATGGTTTCCAGGGTGTCCTGGGTAGTTGCTAGCATGTTTTGAGAGGTTGCTAGGTGGTTGCAAGGTTGTTCAGAGTGGTTGCTTGGATGCTTTGAGAGGCTTATAGGTGGTTGCTAGGGTGTTCTAGGTGGTTACTATTGTGTAGTTGCTAAAGTTTTGAGAGACTGACAAAAGATTACTAGTGTGTTCTGGGTGATTTCTACAAATGGTTGCTAGGGTGTTCTGAATGGTTACTATGGTGTTCTATGTGGGTGCTTGTTCTGGGTAAATTTCTAGGGTATCTTGAGATGTTTCTTGTGTGCTCTGAGTGTTTGCTAGAGTGAAAAGTTGCTAGGTGGTTACTATGGTGTTGTGAGTGTTGCTAGGGTGTTCTAGGTAGTTTGCAGGGTGTTCTGGGTAGTGGCTAGGGTGTTTTTATGAGATTGCAAGGATGTTCTAAATTGGCTGCTTGAGTGTTCTGAATGGTTTCTAGGATATGTTAAGAGATTGCTAGGTGGTTGCTAGGATGTTCTGAGTGTGATGCTTGTATGGGTATTCTCGGTGGTTTCTAGGGTGTTCTGAGCAGTTGCTAGTGTGATCTGGGTGGTTTCTAGAGTGTTCCGATCAGTTGCTAGAGTGCTCTGGATGGTTTCTAGGGTGTTCTGAGCAGTTGCTAGTGTGATCTGGGTGGTTTCTAGGGTGTTCCGATCAGTTGCTAGAGTGCGCTGGATGGTTTCTAGGGTGTTCTGGGTGGTTTCTAGGGCATTGCGCTATGTAGTTACATGCAGTACTTAATACTTTAATATCAACGGTATAGGGGAAACTGAAAAATCCCTAACGCAAGTCTGAGCAAGTTAAACTCACATAAATGTAAATAACTGTATTTATTATTTTATGAGAGAGCAACCCAAAATTAAAAAGCAGATGAATATGGCATAAATCTTATGTAAGAAACCCTCAAATGTCTACAGTCATAACAGCGTGACCTTCACACGCTGCCGCTGATGTGTTTGCAGAGACTCTATGTAACTAAACGACTCCAGTCTCAAATTACAGTGCTTATTCATGGTTGCTTCTTGTGCTCTTTTGCATGTAAATGAACTTCTAAATATTTAAAAGTAAAGGTTACCAAGTAGAGAGATCATTGTGGCCTTTAAGTGTCAGTAGCCCCTTTAGTATTTGAGTTAAATGTCACTCCGACAGCCATCTATTCAGAAATGTGGCCTTGACGAATGTTGATTGAAGAAAGTGCTCTCAATATGCAAAAACAAACATAAATACATTATAATACACATAACAGGAGTCAGAAGGAATAACTAGAGGTTGCTAGTGTTTTGAGAAGTTCATAGAAGGTTGCTATGGTGTTTCTGGTGGTTACTAGGATGTTCTGGGTGGTTGCTAGAGTGTTCTGAATGGTTTCTATGATGTTTTATGTGGGAGTTTGTACTGGGGTCGTTCCTTAGGTTGTTCAGAGTGGTTGCTAGGGTGTTTTATGATATTGCTAGGTTCTAATTGGGTGATTTGGTGTTTTGGGTGGTTGCTAAGATATTTTGAGAGGTTGCTAGGATTTCTAAGTGGTTGATAGTGTTTAGAGAGGTTGACCGAATGTTGCTAGGGTGTTACTGGTGGTTACTAGGGTGTTCTGGGTGGTTGCTACAATGTTCTATGTAGGTGCATGCTCTTGGTAGTTTCTAGGGTGTCTTGAGAGGTTGCTAGGTTGTTCTGAGTGGTTGCTATGGTGTTTTGAGAGGTTGCTAGGTGGTTGCTTGGGTGTTCTAGGTGATTTAGAGGGTGTTTTGGGGTATTTGCTAGGGTGTTTTGAGAGGTTTGTAGGTGGTACTGAATGGTTGCTAGGGTGTTCTAGGTGGTCACTATGGTGTTCTGAGTGGTTGATAGTGTTTAGAGAGGTTGACCGAATGTTGCTAGGGTGTTACTGGTGGTTACTAGGGTGTTCTGGGTGGTTGCTACAATGTTCTATGTAGGTGCATGCTCTTGGTAGTTTCTAGGGTGTCTTGAGAGGTTGCTAGGTTGTTTTGAGTGGTTGCTATGGTGTTTTGAGAGGTTGCTAGGTAGTTGCTGGGGTGTTCTAGGTGATTTACAGGGTGTTTTGGGGTATTTGCTAGGGTGTTTTGAGAGGTTTGTAGGTGGTACTGAATGGTTGCTAGGGTGTTCTAGGTGGTCACTATGGTGTTCTGAGTGGTTGCTAGTGTTTTGAGAGGTTGATAGAAAGTTGCTAGGGTGTTCTGAATGGTTGTTACAATGTTCTATGTAGGAACTTGTTCTGGGTGGTTCCTAGGGTTTTCCGTGTGGTTGCTAGGGTGCTTTACGAGATTGCTAGGTGTAAGGGTGATCTAGTCTGTACACACACCTGTATTATACCGAATAAATACAGTTTTTTGGACTATTTCCTTACATTTGACAAATACATCTGAGAATGATCGAAAACGATTAGGGAGGCAGACAGAAGATGGGACCAAGTTTATTGACGGTAACTGTATTCTCCTTTAAAATAAAGGTGATGTGACCCCTTTTAAAGATCTTATTTGTCCCAGCATATTACAGCATTTCACATTCCTTCACATAATCAAAGTTCAGCCAGAAGCCATTACGATTCCCCTGACCCACTGCAGTACATCCTTACTGCGCGGCACACTATAAACATCTTAATGGGTCTGGTCTCACATCTATAGTACTCATGGGATGGGAATAGTGCTAGAAATGCAGGTGTGACAACATAACTTCAGGTATGGATGGAGGAAAACCAGGGTATGACGAGATGGTTTTTGGATTTCTCTTTCATCTAAACAGCT